GTACGTGACCACAAAGTGTAGCCAAGTCATGGTAAGTATATCTATCCATTATAATTGGGTTGCCATTTGCTGGACAAATATTAGAATTTGTTAAGCTAGAAATTACGTGTATATATATATATATATCATTATTTAGTTTGGGTTACCATTTGTTGGGCAAACATTAGGATTGTTTAAGTTAGATTTTAAGTATATATCATTATTTAGTTTGGGTTGCCATTTGTTGGGAAACGTTAGGATTGTTTAAGTTAGAAGTTACGTATATATATATATATACGTATATATATATATATCATTATTTAGTTTGGGTTGCCATTTGTTGGGCAAACGTTAGGATTGTTTAAGTTAGAAATTACGTATATGTCATTATTTAGTTTGGGTTGYCATTTATTGGGCAAACGTTAGGATTGTTTTGGAAACGTCCCATTTACAGCCGTTATGCTGTCAAAATTGACTTGCAATATTTTTTAAATCATATATAGAATGAATATTCAACTGGTCTCAGCCAAAGATACGACGATGATCCCTCCATCTATCCCTTAGTTGATAAAGAGTTGTGGGAGCAAGCGGTTGGGGGAAGCAAGAAATGCCGTTTATTTGGGTTTGGTTACAACCAAGATCCCAATTGGGTCTTGACTGGGAACTACACAAAAGGTGGTTCATCTTCAGAGGGTCGGGTATGTGCATCTTTTGCTTTGATGATGTTTATCGATTTAGTTTATAATTCATATTATATATTATAACATTTTATTTATTTTATGGGAATTCAAACCTTAAAGACCCAACTTAGAGACTTACAGGAACGACAGCGGGTGGAGGAGGAGCGACGTCGATTGGAGGATAAGCGACGACGACAGAAGGAGGAGCAACAAGATAAACAACTTCAAGATATGAATGCTTTGGTTAGACAGCTCAGTCAATATCAACAATTCCCCCTGCCACCACCATATTGAATATTGTCTTTTGTTTTGAAACAATTTAGTTTTGTTTATAACAATTTAGTTTTTGTTTGGTTAGAATAATTGTAGTTTCACTTTAATGTTTGATATTTAGTTCTATTTCGCCTTTTTAGTTTCATTTTTAATATTGTACATATTTACAGGTTTTAAATACAAGTTTTAAATATTAGTTTTAAAATAAATTTAAAATATTAATATTTATATATTTTTTCTGGCGGATTTGTCTGCCGGTAATGTTTCTAATATAAAAATATCTTTTTTTAAAATAAATTTAGAATTAATATATATATATATATATATATATATATACTATATTATAAAGCATTTGCCTAAAACTTTTAAAAACTCTTAAAACTCTTAAACCCGTTCATCCCTAAACAATTTCATCCATATCCGATTTCATTTCATAACTGAATTCGTGTAACTAACTGCAGATAAACACAATCAAATACAGGATAAACATCTCATTTTAAATATAAAAAATCTAAAATATAATTAGGATA